TCTTCCTCCTCCTCTTCCCAGGAAGGGCTGACCACACAGCAGGCCACGTGGCTGCTGTGGAATGACTCCACGCCACCGGGAAGTCTACAGTATATACATTGCATGTATTTTATGAGAAGCCTGTGATCTATAACACTAATGATCATAATGCATTTTCTATGGAGCGCTTTGGGCTGCTGGCCCACAAAGTGCTCTGAGCGAAGACGGTCACTGGTCAAGTCCACTTAGAAAATGCCACCCACTCTCGCCCCCTCTTAGGGATGTACAACCCACACCCGCAGGTTAAAGGCTCAGAGAAGTCCTCAGTAGGCAGTCACGCGTATCTTTGTTTAGCTCGGTGTTCAGCGGAGCCCAGAATCTTCATTTGAAATTACAGACGTTTTCAAGCCGGACCGACCTGGGAGTGAGTTCGGACATGCAGGCTGGGTGACCGAGGGCCCACAGCCTTCCTGGGAGCCTCAGTTTCCTCACCTGTGGACTGGGTACAACAACCGACCCCACTTCCCAGGGTGGCGGTATAGGCGGAGCTATGGGTACTGGCTCAGAGTGACTCCTTGGTAAACCAAAGCCACAACTGTCCTTATTATTGCTGCACACGCCAGGAGGAGAAGGGGTGCCCTGGGCACAGATGGCTGGGAGAGTGGGGGTTAAGGGGCTTTGGGGGAGTGGTGTCTCCTAGACGGTGGCTTTAAAGATGCCCCCACCAGTGCTGACCATGAGACGGCACCGGGATGAGCCCTTCCCTTCCCCATCTCACTGAACCCTCCACGACCGTGTGTGGCAGGGACCACTCGCTCCACCCACGGAGGAGGGGATGACCAGGCCGCTTGCTCTTGGCAGGAGAAGGATTCAGAATCTCCAATGAGCTTTTTCATCACCAGGTGAAGGAGGCTGGTGTGGGGCCTCCTCAGGGGAAGGCAGAGGCGGCCATTCGCTTGAGCACCCCTTGTGGGCCCAAGGGAAGGGTGGCACGTAGGCCCCAGCCCAGCCCTCGAACCACTCCCAGGCCCTGCTCAGCACCTCCTCCCCTATCCTCCATGTCCCCTCCCTCCCCTCTGCCTGTAGAGGCGTCATGTGTCAGGACCCCCAGAATATGTCCTGCAATCACCAGGGATGCTTTCTGGGACCCCATCATTGCCCTTTCCACAAAGCACTGGCTCCAATCAGAGTGTTTTGGTGTCCCTGGGGCACCCTCAGAGGGGTTGTGGGCAACTTGTGTTTCTTTCTTTGGAGGTCTGGCAAAGCTTGGCTCTCCTTCCCAGCATACCACACCGGGCTGTGTCCAGCACCAGGGGCCCGTGCAGGACTGGGAGCCAATCTCCTCCCCACCGTCACTGCCGAGCTGAGCAGATGGTTGGAGGAGCCTCGTTACACCTAGTTATGGGAGAGCACCACCAATGCCGGGCTATGGGGATCAGTCTCGGGAAGAGGCAGTGAGGCGCTCTGGGGGCTGTTCTCGAGACTCCCAGGTCTCGGTGCTTCCTGAAGGGTTCTGACCGGTGAGGCTTCAGGCCCCTCTCTGCAGCCCGGGCCTCCCACCGGCACAGAGGTGGCCCGGAAAGCAGCATTTACTCCGCACCCTTCATGTGCCAACCCTGTGGCTCCTCATCCATCGTCATAGTCTATCCTCACACCAAGTCGGACGTAAAGACCACTGTATCCATTTGGCTGCTGGTGAAACAAGCTCAGAGAGGCCCATACAGCCAGCAAGAGGCAGACTGGGGGTCAAACCGCGATCTGGCTGATATCACGCCTGTATTTGGGGAAGGAGTGTGGGGGAAGCGGGTAGCCATCCCCTGGCCAGCGCTCGCGCACCTGCTTGAGGATCTGGGCAGCCATGGTGTGGCTGCAGTCGAAGATGATGCGGAATTCCCGGCCGCGCTTCATCTCCTTGAGCAGCGGGCGTGAGTCGTCAGAGTCCAGGGGCAGCTGGCGGATCTTCAGGCGGATGTTGTATCTCGAAGGGGCCATGATGAGCTCCTGCAGTCGGATGAGCCCTGAGAGACCACGGGGCACAAAAGACATGTGTGCACACATGCATACACAGCAACAGGCATCTGCAGGCTCACGTTCATATACACGCCCGTGGCCACAGGTCTGCAGACAGGGACTCGTGGCCCCCAGAGATATGTGCATGAGCATGGTCATAGCCACACACGCCCAGACACAGGCACTAGCACCTCAGACAGAGATGTGCCCTCAACTGCACACACCTGCACATGCACACAGATGTGTGTGCACATATGAACATATGCTTACAAGCATGTTGATACAGTCAGGGCATATGCTTGGGCTGATAATATATGTGTATACATGTAGATAAACATGTGTGCACACAGATACATATACACATATGTGGATTCAAAAGTAGGCATGGACAACAGATTCTCACTGACCACGCCCACCTGCTCCTTTCCAACCCAGAATGGATGTAGAGACTGATGGAGCCTGAACCTGCCCCCCTGTGACATGGTGAGACATGGGGCATAATTCTCTTAAACACACTTAGCAACCTGTTCCAGGATGCAGGCACAAGTGGCAGCTCCACACTCAACTGTACCAACAGTGGGACTGGGTAGGTCCAGGTGGTGTCTGTGCCCAGTCCCCACCCCCACCCCTACCCCCAAGGGCAGACTCCTCGGTAAACCTAACCCATCCTTCCAAGCTCAATGCATCCACCTCCTCCACGAAGCCTACCCCTACTGTTCTGTCCAGACAAGATCTCCCCTCCCCCAACTCAGTGGCCTCTCCCTCAGGATTAGCCTCCTCTGGACTCATCTCATGCCCCTAGTCCTGCTCCAAACTCTTTAACATGAGGGGCTGGGTCCCCACAGCCCCTAGCCCAGGGCCTGGCACTTAAATGGCATCAACACAAATTTCCATAATTAGCTTGACTTAGTTTTTCTCTCCCCACACTGAAAAATCCATCCTCCACCTGAGCATTTTGCAAAATCACTTAATGTGGGGACTTCCAGGGAAAACTAAATGTCACTTCCTAGAGACAAATGGCTTGCATGGGTCTAATTAAGTTCATTTCCGTCCCTATTTCAAGGTTCATTCCTGCTGACGCCTCTCTGCTTAGCCTGGAAGCAAGCCTGCTGGCTGCTCTCTCTCCCTCCAACCCCAATGCCAGGAGGGGCTAAGCCAACATCAGGCCAGGGGCCCAAGCAGGTCCTTACTCACCACCACCCCCTGCTGGCCCCCTGCTCACACTCGGGGCTCGGGGTCTGAGTCCCGGCTGCCCTGTGCACTCAGTGCGCTCCACGCCCCCATGACAACACGCTGACTTTCCTGTGGGGAACAACCCCCTTCTCTCTCAGGCCATCTGACCAGGAAGGACCCATCTCCAGCTTCCAAGGCTCAGCATGTGGCCCCAGCCTGGCCAATCAGGCAGGAGTATGGGCTTAGAGAGGGTAGGTGCCCCCAGCTGGTCCTCAGAGTGACGTCCAGTGCCAGAGTAAATGGTGAGATGTGCCCCCTTTTCCATTCAACTCCAAACAAGGAGGACGTGAGCCTGGGAGTCACCACATGGGACCCGAGAAGGATTCCAACGGGGCAGAGTCAGAGCGGCCAAACGGGGAGAAAGTAAGGCCGGATGATACCAATTCAAGCCTCTGGATCAACCAGTACCTGAAGCTAAATTTACTCAACTTCCAGTTACAACAGCCAACAACCCCCCCCCCTTTTTTTTTTTGCTTAAGCTAGTTTGTGTTGGATTAAAGTTTGCCATTAACTGTCACAGTGTCCCCTGTCTGCACAGTTTCCTACGCTCTCCACACAACCCCCCTCTCCCCCTGCCCCACGGACAGCCCACTTCAGATGCCTTCCAACAGAGAGCCCCTGTTTCCAAAGCTATTTCGGGGACACACGCCTGGGTCTGTTCAGCCTCTCATTCCCGTTCCTGAGGGCCGGAGTCAGGAAAGCGATCTGATTGGTGTCCTTCATGTCACTGCGCTGGGGAGGACAGAAATAGAACCCAGAGACCGAAGCCTCCCAAACAAGCTTTGCCACGGCTGTGGGATCAGGTGCCCAGCCCCCCGAAGGCCTCAGATCCAGGTGGCTGGGTTGGGAGAGGGCTTGGGGGTCCTGAGTGGCTGGATCCATAGGGGCCCAGGGCCTCCTCATACCAGACTTGATGGGGAAGAGGGTGAGGATACCAGGGGCCCTCAGCAGAGGAGGGAGGGGGGTTACAGCTCCCCATAAACACACACCCAGCCTCCCCTCCACCCGAGTGAATCTCAGAACCCCTTCGTTTGGCTGACGGATGCTGCCTGCTCGCACCTGCTCCCCACAAGACCCAGAGTGCACACTGTGCTCCCATGTGCTCGGTTTTCAGACTCACGCACAGCATCCGCAGGCACATGGGCTTTGGGGACCCAGGACAGGAGGGCGGGGCCAGCCTGGGTGCTGGAGCAGAGCTCACCAGAGTCTTCCTGCCAGGCAGGTGCAATGCCCCGTGTAATAGTCGGTGACCCACATTCTCCAGCAGCAAGTGTCAGAGCTCCTTCCCATCAGTGTATTCCCGAAGGAGCCCAGAGGTTCGTCTCGGCCAACCCAGCGGAAGACGAGGCTCTTTTGTTCGCCCGAGATGAGCTTTCCTTCCTGGCTGCTTCCCTAATCAATCTCTCTCAAAATATCTGCAGTGAATCATGTTGTTGGAATAAATATCTGCAGTGAATCATGTTGCTGGGATCATGCTTTTCACTTACAAAGCACTTCCGCATTCATTACCCGACTTACCCGTCTCCCTGTCCTAGAAAGCATGCAGGTTAGGGGCTTCTGTCCCAATGTGGCAGATAAAGAAACCGAGGTCCAGAGAGGTTAAGTGACCCTCTCAAGGTTTCACAGCATGCTAGCAATGGGGTCAAAACTAGAGACCCATTGTTTGGCTTCTAGACCAAGTTATCAGAACATAAACCCATCATAAGACAAGCAGCATCTGTATTGTTCATAGGTAACTGGTATACCCCTTCTAGCATGCTGAGAGAACCATGGTTTTGTTTGGGTGACCATGCGCCAGTCCCATGAGGTGACCTGAGATTGGGAGGAACCAGTCAAGGGTAATCCCTTGCAACATGATCAACTTCTCAAAATAAGATGGTATAATTGCATCCTCATTTCTTCTTCCTTCCCAGTGTCCAGCACACTATTTCCTAATAACATTTAATTATAGTTTATTTCAACTTGATTTTCGATTCGATTCAATTCAATTCAATTCAGTTCAATAAACCTTTATAAACATCTGTGTTGTACCAGGCCCTGTGCTAAATCCTGGAGGCCCAGAAAGTTCATGGTCTGGAAGGAGAGACAGGCTCAAAGACAACCATTCACAGTGGTGTGTAAAGACAGATAAGCCTACAGGCTGCACAAACACTGGGGGTGACTTGGAGCTGGGCAGGAGCGCCCCTCAATGGCAGAGAACTAGTGTGGGAGGCCCTGAGAGGGGTGGGGGTCCCTGCCCTCCAGGATCCTCTGCCTGGTGCTTTGGGTATGGCAGGACCTCAATAGATGGTGGTCAAATCCCGAGGAAAATCAACAACTTCGGAATGTCTTTCCTGAGTGTCTGATTCCCACTCCGCATGCGGAGGTAATCGAGCTGACACTGAGTCACAGGCTGCTGAGAGCTGGAGGGCTCTTTCCAGACCGGATACCGCAGCTCTTGCCTGATGTGTGGAGAGCGGGGCCAGATGGATTAAGTGACCTGCCAAGGTCACTCTCTCTTAAGAGGTGGGACTAAGAAATATTTGGGACTTGAGTCTTTGGAAGGAAAGAGGAGAGGAAACAGGCCCGCGCTGCCCAGCTAGTAAGCATCAGAGCCGGTGCACGTGCACTGGAGGGTTTGAGTTCAACGCCTGCACAGAGGGAAACGTGTGAGTGTAAGAAAGCAGGCAGGTGTGGGCGTGGCTGGGCAGGAGTGGGTGCAGGTGCTAGGAGCGGGGCGAGTGTGCTGAGTGCGGATGTGAGCATGCTGCTGGGTGGAGGCGGATGGGTGGGAAGGTGTGAGGCAGATGCGAGGTGGGCTGGGGCTGGGTGAGTGGGCGTGTGGTGGGTGTGCACAGGGCTGAGTGAGCAGGGACAAACATCGATGTGACTGAGTGAAGCTGGAGGGTGAGAGGGGACCCTTTCCCCAGGGGCAGCCGAGTTGGGCGAGTAGTGAGGAGCCCGATCCCAGGGTTCTGCCTCCCTTGCACCCTAACCCCAGCCTGGTCAGGCCTGGCCACCCACCTGTACTGTCATCATAGACCACGGTGGCCGACCGCCACTTGAGGTACTGAACCAGGTCAAGGATGGCGTGGCTGAGAGAGGCGTAGTCAGGATAGAGGTTCACGTAGAAGGTGTCCTTGTTGTCCAGCGGGTGGTGCTTCCAGCGCAGCTGGATGTGGGGCACCTCCAGGGCATTGCAGATGGACTGGACGGCGTTGGTGCAGGAGCCCTGTGATGGCCCGAAGATCGCCACCACGCCCAGCGCCAGCTGGTCACAGGCTGCAGCAGAGGGAGGGAAGGACGCACAGGGGTCAGTGCTGGGTCTGGTCAGGCAGCTGGGGCCCGGGGCCCCGGGGCCATGGTTTTGATGGTCTCATAAACACATGGGCAAACAGCCCCTGCAGCCCTCTGAGGCTGGATGGCTGACACTCTCTCTGAATCTCCGTTTCCTCATCTGGAAACCAGGGTCGCAATCGTGCCCGCTTCACGGGCTCATAGGAAGTTGAACAAGATAATGCACGTAAGCCCTCAGCACAGAGCTCATGAAACAGAAGTGATGACTTCTGATGTCCTCATCGTCATAGCATCCCCAGCTCTGTATCATGCCCTGTTCTGGGTGGGAACTTGAGAAACAAATAGAAATAAAATACCTACTTGCGGGTGACTTTTACACTTAAACCTCCTGCCCCAATCTGTTTCTTAAAATCCAACTTGCACATCTCCCCCCTCGCTCCACAGTGCCATTCGGTTGTCTGTGATGCACTTCAGACCTAATGTGTCTGAAACGCAATCCCCTCTTCTCCTCCCAACCTCTCCCATGTTGGTAAACGGCAATTCCACGGTCCCACCCCGTGCCCTCTGTCAAAGACCCTGGCTCTATCCTGACTCTTCTCATACTCTCATATCCCACATCCCAATCCAGCAACAACTCCTGTTGTTTCATCTTTGAAATACATCAGAATCCGACCACTTCTCCCCACTCCTACCCTGATCCCAGCCATCGTCATCTTTCACTTGGATTCCTGCAGAAGGCCCCTCGCTGGTCCCAGCTTCCTCAGAAACCCGCTCTACCATCTATTCTGCATTCAGCATCTCGAGGGAGCCTTTCACAACCTGAGCGGATGACATCACTCCTTTGTTCCATTCAGGTAAAAGCCTGTCCTAATGGTGACCAACAAGGCCCTATTTGTTGTAGCCCCTCCCCACCCCTGTCCCCAACATCACCCACTAGTTTTCTGACTTCCTCTCCCATCCTTCCCTCCTATTCTGACAGCACTCAAGCCCCACTGGCTCCCATGATGTTCTTCACACACTCTAAGCACACTCCTGCCTCAGGGCCTTTGCACTTGCTGTCCCTTCTGGCTGGACTGTTCTTCCCTCAGATCCACATGACTCCCTCCCTCCTTTCCTTCAGGTATCTGTGTCTGTGCGTCTTAATAGAGAGGCATCACTCCCCAACCCATAATAGCAGTCCCATCCAGCCACAGTCCCTTAACCCCATTCCCTGCTTTACTTATATATTAAAGACCACCAGAGGTCTTGTTCATTTGTTGACTTCTTTTCCAACTTGAACATAATAAGTTCCAAGGAGGCAAGGGCTTGATCTATGTTGTTTATTGCTGTACCCACAGTGCTTTAAACAGTGCCTGATCTGAGTCGGTGCTTAATCAACATCTGCTGAGTGAACAAATGCTGAATCCTTGACTTCAAACAGTTCACATTCTTGGGGGAGGCCCAAGGGCTCAGGCAGATCAGACAGCAGATGCTTCTGGGAAGGCCAAACCGCAGTGGGCACAGCACAGCGTGAATTGAGCAGACCCAGGGCAGCTGGGGCTCCGAGGGGGACGTAGGCTCATACAAGGATTGTGCCTGAAAGACCCATAAAATGAACCTCTCAGGGCCATGGAGTTGGCGGGGGCGAGGGGGCTCCCCAGGAGCCACTGCCCTTTCTTCTGGAAACTGTCCCTATTTTACCTTTGGGCTCCATTGCTTTTTTCACTCCCAACCCATGAGGGGTGGGCTAGGGACTTAGAGCCTAGGCTGACCTCCCCCAGGCCATAGCAATTGGTTTAGAGAATGGTCATATGACCAGTCAGAGCCAATGGGATGCCATGAGACCTCAGGCACTGGGAAGGGAGCACATCCCTCTGTAACTGGATCTGGAAGGAGGTAAAATCTGGAGTACAGTAGCCACCTTGTACAAAAAAAGTGTGGTGCTTGTTTGTGAACAGAGTCCATGTGGAGATGAGCAAAGCCAAGACAGAGAAAGAAATAGGAGCCCCTGATCAAGTCGAAGCCTGGAGTTTGGTGACATGAACCAATACATTCTCATTTTGCTTAAACCTGTTAGGATTTGGTTACTGTCCCTTGCAACCAGAAGAGTCCTAACTGAAGAGCATCAGCAAACTCACCAGTCTATGGCCATGAGAAGGAACTACATGCACATGTATGAACATAAGATGATTGTAGGAGAAGGCAAGACAGAGTGCATGGATACCCAGTGGATTCAGATGCATTCTGGCTGCCTCAAGGGCCTCTGGGAATAATGCACGTAAGCCCTCAGCACAGAGCTCATGAAACCCCTGGCTGCCTCAAGGGCCTCTGGGAATGACTAGGGGCCTTAGGTCCGCCCCTAACATCTGTAGGGCCCAGGGACAGAGTACAAATGGAGGCCCATATACCATATGGCTAAATAGTTAAATGTTATAAGCTGACAAACTGTTACTTAAAACATGCTCTGCCCCACCCCCAACTTGACAACATGCCTTCAACACAACCTGGAAAGTCAGGATAGAACATCCTGGAAAGTGAGGATGGGGACTTATCATATGCAGTAACGTGGGGAGAGGTGGTACCACCCCCATCCTGTCCCCTTCTCTTTGACCACTTGCTCCCCCTTGTATCATAAGGGACTGTCCACACCTCTCCCATGTCACCTTAGATAGGGTCTACAAATGCGACCATGGCAGCATGGCTCCCTCTCTGTAGGGGCAGCTCAGGGAAGAGGCTCATGCAGGCTTCTGGGCAGGAAATTCAGGGTTCTGGACACTTGGAGCAAAGATTAAAGGGGCAGGGCACAGGGTCTTAATAGGCAAGTCCCCTTGGTCCCACTGACTCCTATTCTGGGAGGAGATGTCGACCAGAAGAAGACGAGGGCAGCATCTCCAAAGCACAAGCCCTGGGAAAGGACCCTCTTGCCTGGCCTAAGGGTGGTACCAATGGATCCAGGGATACAGGGTAGTTTCAAATCAATCAGAATGTGTGATCTCTGAGTATTTTCCCTCTCCACTGATGTGCTCCTTCCTCCTTCACTGCTTCCTGGGAATAGGAGATATTACTCTGGTATATAAAGTGTTTATTTTCCCTGAAAATATTTCCCCCTAAGAACACAAGAGAATGCAATTCATGGCTTACATAAAAGACACTGCACTCTGGGAGGTGGGCTGGTGATTGTTAGCAGTCTGCAGAACTATCTGGAACATGGGACAGGGCAATCCTGTATGGGAAGTAGTGGGGCCTGTACAGAGAGCATTTCCTGGGTCACCAAGACTCCTCTTGGCCAATGCCAAGTTCGGGAGAGGATGCACAGTGGGGCTCCTGGTGCCTTCCTGTGCTCCTATAGCTGTGGGACTGGAGGTCAAATCCCTGTTATTGTCACCCTAGAGTCAATACACTTTAGCAGCACTCTGTGTGGTGACTGTGTGAGAGACAAACTCCAGTGATAATAAATGCTTCAAAAATAGGAACTCTGGGTGTGTTGGTAAATTGTTCCTTTGTCCCAAGGAAGCCGATCCTTGACCTATACTCACTGCCCATTCATGTTGTTCTCCTGCTGTCTGGGTGTGTGGGTGTCTGCTCTCACCACTTAGTCCCCTTAAGAGCAGGTGCTGCCTGAGGGAAGAGACCATGTATGAGCCACGGAGTCTGGAAACCAACATGGAGAAGATGGTGACAGTGAGGAAGTGACAGCTGTCCAGGTCTGGTCACTCCTTGCCCAAGCCAGAGGTCATGGGAACCCGATGGAATCTGCAGGTTTCTCTAATGCTCTGCCTCCTGCCTTTGTTTTAAACCTTCTAGCTGTCCCCTGTTATCCCTGGCTTCCATCCCATCATCTCCTGTCTCTACTCTTTCTCTTTTCCCTCAAGGACCTTCCGATTGATGACTTAGTCAAATGACTTGTGTGTCTCACTTCCTCTCACTACCACCTCCCAGAATCTGTGTTTTTGATTTCCCCCTTTGATCTAAGTCTCGAGGCAGGCAGGCAAATGCCGCCCTTTCACCCCCACCCTCATCCAGCTCAACCTCTTAGATCATGGCCCCCTGCAGGTCCAAGGTCTGGGTATCCCTGTTTGACTCAGGTAGGGGAGAGTAGACCAACCACAAATTATGATGATGTAGAGGATTGTTAGAGTGATCTTGAAGGAGAATGGATAGATTGGGGTATAGTTATACAATGGATTTTGACATTGATTGTAGTGATAATGGTAAAGGTAACTGTAATGATAGTAATAACAATGAAGACCATATCGTGGGGCTGTTGCTGATCCTGGTGATGCCATTAATGAGGGTGGAATTAATGGTAACAATGATGTTGTGACATAATGGTAGGATGATGATGGGATAGATGGTGATAAATATGTCAATGCCATGACAGTGACTGTGATGATGATGGTAGAAATAATCATGGCGATGTAAACATGGATAAGAGGGAAGGGGATAAAAATTTTGATGGTGTTGATAAGATTGGTGATGATGAAGATGTCAATGCCATGACTGTAACTGAAGATGATGATGGTAAGAAATGATGATGTTAATGTTAGTGAAGATGAGATTGTTGATGATAGAGATGCTGCTGTCATGGCAGCGATAGTGATGATGACAGTAGGGGTGGTGATGGAGGTGTTGAGGCTAAGAGTGGAGATGAAACCATTGTTGATGGTGATGACAGTAACTGTGCTGATGGTGCACTGGTGTTGACAGTGGTGTTGATGTGATGATGACCACACTGGGTTTCATTCTGCCAGAGATGTAGTGATTAGATCTCACTATTGGGTGGCAGGAGGCATCAGTTCTGCCTTTCACCTATTTCTCCTCCTTGGCCTTTCTTCACACCCCTTTTCTTGTTCCCTTCATGTTCTATCCACCCTCTAATAATCTCCCAGTCTGGAAGAACACTGTTTTCTCCAAGGGACCATGGCAGGGGTTATAGCAGCAGCAGCAGCAGCAGCAGCTTTATTTCCAGATGTTTCCAGGGCAGCAGCCAACCCTTGTTCTGGCAG